GCTAACTACTTTACAAAATGAAATAAACCAAGGAGAAGTCAAATCGTTCAATACATTAATTGAAATAATAAAAAGAACAAAAAAACAATGTAAAAAAGAGCATGAAATTAAAATAAAAGAACAAAACTATTGGATCACAAACGAGTACATTTAAAAAATTAAAGAGCGAGACAAGCTTTATATTAGATGGAAAAAAGTTGAAAATGAATTTACTGAAACAGAATATAAGAAGCTTCGAAACGAAACTAACAACCTAAGGAAAAGATTACAAAAGTCCTATGCAGAAAGAAAATTTGCAGATGCTGAAGGAAACAGTAGGAAAACATGGCTAACACTGAATAACCTATGCGGAAAAAAGAACGAGCTCAAACCAAAAATACATAGAATCGTGAACCAAAGTGGACAGACCCTTGAAAATGACAAGGACAAGGCAGATGAATTCAACAAATATTTTTCAAACGTGGGACAGGAGCTAGCATCAAAAATTAAAAAAAATCTAAACAACGTTTTTCCAGAAGAAGAAGTCATAGAAACTATCTTTCTTGAACCTACAAATGAATTTGAACTTAGAACGACAATAAATAACCTAAAAAATAACACTGCACCAGGATATGATGGTATAACTAAAAAAGACCTAGTAAGCTACTACAACATCATAAAAAATAATTTGATTAATATTATAAATAACGTTTTGGAAACAGGAATCTACCCAGACGAGTTGAAAACGGGAAAGATAGTGCCAATATATAAAAAAGGATCTCATACTGATGTTGGTAATTATCGACCAATTACATTACTGAGCACGTTCTCCAAGATTCTAGAAAAAATAATTAAAAGTCGATTAACTAGGTTCATAGAAGCCAAATTCAAATATGACACAAGGCAGTATGGATTCCAAAAAAAAAGTAATACGCTAGGCGCCACGGTTGACTTACTGGAATACATCACTGAACAACTAAATAAAAACAAATATGTTGCTACAGTGTTTATTGACCTCAAGAAGGCTTTTGACACTGTCAACATAGACCTGATGTTGAATAAGTTGTATGGAATGGGTTTTAGAGGTGTGTGCCAGAATCTGCTAAGATCCTATTCAACCAATAGGAGAAATTTTACATCAGTGAATGGAGTGAATAGTGAAGAGGAATATACAAAGGTTGGAGTAGCACAGGGTTCAGTGCTGGGACCTCTACAATACCTACTATATGTACACAGTCTTAGACTTGCTGGTGTTACTTACTACATGTTTGCAGATGACACAGTATTAGTTTGTGCTGAAGATAACAAAGATAATTTAGACAGAATCCTAAACTCGGATCTTCAGAAATATAACCACTGGCTGAACTATAACAAACTAACTATAAATACAGAAAAGACTGTCTATATGATTATTAAGCAAAATGGCAAGGACCCCTGTAAAATAAATGTAAAATTGGACAACACAGTATTGATTTTTACTGTAATGCCTAGCTTCGTGTTTTATGTGCCTATATGTATTTGGAATTTTTAGCAATGACGTTATATTTGGAAGGTATGTTGACTCCCTATAATTTTAATGTTTATGTATTTTTTGCTTACGTTATTTTTCTTGTTTGTTTGTTAATTTTATTTTTGTTCTATCGAACCCCACCTTAAATACCTAATACCCTGTTGGGGAAACGCCAGTGAACACCTGATGAACAAACTACAGAGGGCCCAGAACAAAGCTATTAAAGCAATATTTTGTATGGACTACAGAACATCTACTGAGGGTTTATATAGACAATTGCCATTCTTAAAGATGAAACAAATAAAGCAGCGCGAACAATCAAAATTAATTTATTACATAAAAAATAATCTTATTAAAACAAATGTCACATTAAATAAAAGCAAGAATTTTCACTCCTACAACATAAGATCCAGAGAGGCATACAGAAATAATTATAGTGCTACCAAGAAGTGTCAGGATTCTCCAATGTACAGAAGCATCCAAACATTCAATCGACTTCCAACTTATATCCAAAATGAGAGGCTGCCCAAATTTACCCGTGCCCTAAAAGACCATTACAAGACCAAAGACTAACCTGCTCTAAGAGAATACAAAAGAAGACAGGGAGACTACTGTTATTAATATTGTATGGAAAAGAAAGGACTTAACCCATTATCTAATTGTAATTTAAAACTGTTGTTAGGCCTCGGTGCCAGTATAAGCTATACTGTTTTGAGGTCATAAATAAATATATTTAAAAAAAAAAAAAAAAAAAAAAACATTTTCTTGCTAATATTTCCTTATCTTTAATCATTTTAAAACTTTCAAATTTTGTCTATTCTAAGCGCTAGGCTCTTAAATTCTTGTTTTAAGTATTTTAAACAAAAACATACATAACATTCACTTTGGAACAAACACATAAAGAAGAGCCAGGAAGGAAATTGAAAACAAACATATCAAGAGCCTGAAATTGTAACATAGGTAGTGGACTACAATCCCTGAAAATTTCAACTTATTTGGATTTAAAGTTCCTGAGAAAAAATCGTGTTTAGGGATGGATTTTTCAATTTTCCTAACGTCGTTTTTTCATAGATTTCCGTTTCAAATCCCACGATAAATCACTATATGAAGTTTCTGAAATCCCACTTGATTGTTTGAAGAGAAATCTTCACAAAGAAAATAAATAAAATTTGGAATGACTTGAAAACTTTGAAAAATCCAAGGGGCAAATCGCTGGTGGAACTTTTTGTGCATGCCAAGTGCATTTTTTGGAATTCCCTAATGGCATTTTTGTGAAATTTTTTGGAACTCTTTGGCATTTTTATGAAATTTTTTGGATTTTTTTGGCATTTTTTGAACAAATTTTGCCAGCAATTTGCCCCACGACACGAGACAAATCGCTAGTAGAATTTTTAAAATTACTTACCTACCTTATAATTTGGATTTTTAAAAACTTTAAAAAATCATAAGTTACTTTTTTTCTATACCTAGATCAAGACATACTTAGATAAAGATAGAAGGCTGAAATTTTCAGAGAGTCTTATCCTAGTAAAGGACTATAATCCCCGAAAATTTCAGTTCATTTAGACTTATAGTTCCAGAAATAAAATCGCGTTAAACAATTTGGGGTGATTTATCAATTTTACAATTTTTCTGAGTGCCTTTTTTCATAGAATCTGGCTCCAAATCTGAGAATAATTTAGTGTATGGAGTTTGGGGGATCCCAAATGATCACTAGGACACTAAATCTCAACAAAAAAAAAATTGAAATTTCATCCATGTAGTAAGAAGGTTCCTACCTTATGATTTAGATTTTGGAAAACTTTGAAAGGTCATAACTTTTTTTCTATTAAAGATATAAAGCTGAAATTTTCAGCGATTCTTATTCCAGTAGAGAACTACAATCCCTGAAAATTTCAACTGATTTGAACTTATAGTTCCTGAGATAAAATCGTGTTAAGTGATTTGGGGTGATTTATTAATTTTACAATTTTTCTGAGTGCCTTTTTTCATAGATTCTGGCTCTAAATTTTAGAATAATTTGATGTATGGAGTTTGGGGGATCCCGAATGACCATTAGGACACAAAATCTCAACAAAAAAAAATGAAATTTCATCCATTTAGTAAGAAGGTAGGTACTTACCTCAGTACCTTATGATTTAGATTTTGGAAAAGTTTAGGTCATAACTTTTTTTCTATTAGAGATTTAAAGCTGAAATTTTCAGTGATTCTTATTCCAATAGAGGACTAAAATCCCTGAAAATTTCAACTGATTTTAACTTATATTTCCTGAGATAAAATCGTGTTAAGTGATTTGGGGTGATTTATTAATTTTACAATTTTTCTGAGTGCCTTTTTTCATAGATTCTGGCTCCAAATCCTAGAAAAATTTAGTGTATGGAGTTTGGGGGATCCCAAATGACCATTAGGACACAAAATCTCAACAAAAAAAAAAATTGAAATTTCAATCCATTTAGTAAGAAGGTAGGTACCTAAGTACCTTATGATTTAGATTTTGGAAAACTTTAGGTCATAATTTTTTTTCTTTTAAAGATAGAAAGCTGAAATTTTCGGCGATTCTTATCCCAGTAGAGGACTACAATCTCTGAAAATTTCAGCTCATTTGGACTTACAGTTCCAGAAATAAAATCGCGTTAAGCAATTTGGGGTAAATTTATCAATTTTTTGAGTGCATTTTTTCATAGATTTTGCTTTCAAATCTCCGAATAATTTAGTGTAGGGAGTTTGGGGTGTCCAACTGATCATATAAACGCAAAAACCTCAACATAAAAAAATTTAGAAATTTCATCATCTAAGTACTAAGCGAGGTACTAAGGTAAGTAAGTACCTTTTGATTTGGATTTTTGAACATTTTTGAGACCCATAACTTTTTGATATTATAGATAGAGAGCTGAAATTTTCAGAGATTATTATCCCAGTAGAGGAGTAGGTACAAATCCTGAAAATTTCAACAAATTTGGACTTATAGTTCCAGAGATAAAATCGAATTAAGAACTATGGAGCAATTTGTATAGAACTGGTAAATGCTCCAAAAAAACTCAAATAAAAATCTACTCCTACACTTCTTGAAATGTTTCCTCTAGACTTCCGGCTTCCTGTTCAAGTGTCTGGCCACTCACTTAATCATTTCATCTACATAATCAGCTTGCCTAAATAATTATCAATTCAGGACAAATTTATTGTTCTCAGGCATAAGGGTACTATTTAAACAATACAAATTAGAATGTTCTTTGTTTATTTATTACAACAAATTTAAATTGTAAATAAGATTAATCTACAATGTAAATAAAAGCAAGGATATCAAAATATCCTGCTTTTTATCAGAAATGGACCTAAAACAACTACCAGGAAATCTCCCCGATAATAAAATTGATAACACCCTTTGCAATAGGGAATGAATCATTGGAAAATACTCGGGAAAATATCAATGAAATTTTCTATGGTAAATTTATGAATTTTCAATTATTGCTCAATACTACAATAAATAATTAATAAATAATGCTAATTTCACCTTTGTTTTACAGGAAAATCCAAATAAAATTCAAGAAATAACACAAATACACCCTTCCTCGTAAAGAATCGAGCCAAACTAAATGTTGACAACTTTTTCCTGTAGATGGCGATGCAGTAGTTGACAAAAGTCAATACAACTATTCATATGGCCCAACAACTTTATATATCTCTTTTTAGCTTGCGGAATTAGAATGAAACAATAAAAAATGTCTACGAAGGCGAGTGAAATGTTGCATCTCTTTCTACTAGGTAATTTTGACAAAGACTAAAATATTTGAGAGTAATTAATTGATGCTTCTTTGTTTACTTCAACGTGTAAGAAAGAGAAAGATATAGTCAAGTAAATTTTGACAGGGATTTTTTTATTTTATTTTGACAATCAAAAGTCAAATCAAAATTGAGTCGGGGTTTGTCAGTGGAGCCTGTAGTGTTTTTCCTTGAGTTTTCTCCGTGATTATTGGAAATGAAAATCTAAAGATGGTGTGAAATGTGCGATTTATCCTTCGTGAAATCGAACTCGGCCGGAGAATTATTGAATCGTATCGAAATGACCCTCGAAAGTGGCACCGCGGAGCCTTCGAATCTGAAACGAACCTTTACTTTGCCCAGGAACCCCTTCAATACAGCCAAAAGAAGACCGAAAACCAACGAAAACGACTGCGACATTAAAATGGTCAACGAAAACAGCGAGAAAAACAATAAGAAAGTTTTTCGGTAAGTCAAACTTTCATCTAAAAACAACTCTTGACTTTAATAAAATCTTCTATTGTAGTCGACCTTCGATTAAAAAAATCATCAACAAAATCGCGCAGCACATCAGCGGAGTCCCAGGTATCAATCAAAACCTCGAAAACAACCGCGTCCCGCCTGTAGGTTTTCAAACGTGGGGCCCCAACGACACGCCCGGAGTCACGGGTCTTAAGAACCAGGGCAACACCTGCTTCATTAACGCAGTCATTCAATGTATTTCGCACACAGACATTCTGGCCGAATACTTTGTCCTGGACAAATACAAAATAGATTTGAGCAGAAGGAACAAATTGAACTCCAAGAAGTTTGGTACCAAAGGTGAAGTTACTGAGCAACTTGCTACTGTTTTGAAGGCATTGTGGGCTTGCCAGTATTGTCCTGAATTGAGTACGAGTTTCAAACAGGTTTTGGAAAGGCACGGGTCTCAGTATAAAGGGAATCAGCAGCATGACGCTCAGGAATTTCTTTTGTGGTTGCTGGATAAAGTACATGAAGACTTGAATACTGCATCCAAGAAGAAATACAAAAGTATTAAAGTAAGAAATCATTATGCTGATAATAATTATTTATCAATACTTGTGGCAAGTTACCACATAAGTATTTTTGTTATCTTATCTCGATTTTTTTTCCATGAATGATACTTATCTAATTACAATTTTAAATTAAATGCATTACCTTTGCAGGAAATTTTAAATTTTTGCATCAAGGTTAACTCGGTGGGTGGGTGTTGGTTTTAATTCAACTTCCGGATTAAATGAATTATTGTAGGTAACTAAAAATTAATTCAACAAAAAATAATTACAAATTCTTTTGCTTCATGAATTATTATTGTCAATTAATATTCTCAGTATGTTGATAACTAGCATCATCGGATTCATCGGTAACCTTTCAATGTAATTAAGCTTATAATATTCATGGCTATACAGAGAGAGCTATTTATTGATTGATTGGAAAAACAAAACAAACAGTGAAACTTTCTCATGCTAATTTCAATATTTAAATTGGTGTCATTTGCCATATTTGTCTGTAGATACAGGGTGAGTAAATGTGGGAATCTTGATAACCATAAGGGTTACAGGGTGGGTTGAATTGGGTCAAAGTTATGCAATTTGTTGCTCATCCAAATACAGTATTGACATTTGAAAATTTTCATTTTTTGGTTCTGATTTTTTTTTTTTTGAATTATGACAAGATTGAGAGAAATTGTCAATATTTCCATTAAAATTTGATCAAATTAGGCATTAAATTCTCTATAAATATATGCGAAATTGAGTCCGATAGGTCAAATACTTTTTGAGCAATTGAGCCTCAAAGTTGAAATTTAGTCAAAAACTTCAAACTCAATTTTCTCAAAAACTTCAAACTTGAAAATATTTTCCAATACAGGTTTTCTAGAACTCAATAGGAGCTACAATTCCTGCAAATTTTGCTTCAATATCCCTCACGGATTTTAAGATATTGAAGCTTGAAGATTTTGAAATAAAAATCCAAAGGGGGTACCCGGGGGGCGGTTAACCCTGTTAAATCGGTGTACAAATGGACTTAAATCACTTTAAATCCCTTATTAAATCACATAAATCATCTTGTTTTGCTCTAAATCAGATTAAATGAGGTTAAATTCCTTCAAATCTCTTTAAATCCCTCTCAAATCTTTTTAAATCAATTAAATCCCTAAAAATCTGAAATCCGGAACACTTTAAATCCCTAAATAAATTTCCTTAAATCACCTTAGTTTTTTCATAAATCATATCAAATCACGTTAAATCAGGTCAGATTGATTAAAATTTTCCTAAATCTCTTACAATCCCTTTAAATCTTTTTAAATCTAGTTAAATCTGTTTAAATCCTTTTAAATCTTTCTATATCTCGTCAAATCTTTCTATATCTCGTTAAATCTCTTTAAATCTTTTTAAATCTTCATAAATCTCCATAAATCATTTCAAATCGATACAAAAATGGTTAAAATCCCGCGCAAACTTTGGGCGACTCCAACTCGACAAACCTCGAGGTGCAATCGTTTATATTCGTTTGCGGCTTGCGCGTGTGTGTTCTCGGATGTTCTGTGTTCTCATTTGGGCTAAATGGATGAGAAAAAGGAAGAAATTCCAACTTACGATGGCCATTAAGCCCGAATGAAATAGTTATTTTCCTAACAAGTGCGCAAAGTGATACTTTCCCGCACGAAAAAGCAGTTAGACAACGACGCGAAGCGGAGTTCGGATAAGCTTTGAGTGCGGGAAAGACGCTTTGCGCCAGTGTTAGGAACATTATTTTTTCTACGAGTATCTTAAAAAAGTAGACTTTGAATTGCTAAAATATTAGAAAAATCAATCAATTCAAAATCGTTCAGAATCTATTGGAATTCCTCAGATTGTCTTTTAAATTAAATCCCCAAAAATCTTTTAACATCTTCTGGAATTTCTAGAATACCAGCTAGAATATTTTCATGGGAGTCTCTTAAATATCAAAAATTCTACAAATTCCTAGCAGTACAGGCTGGTCTAATTTGGACACCTTTGATAAGAAACATCATGTTAACTAAGCGCTAATTTCAACTTAAACCCTTCATTTTGAGTATTACTTTATTCAGAAATCATCAAAACATTGAAAATTCAAGTATAACTACAGTAAATATGCGTAACAAAAATGAGTGCGCAAAGAGTTTCCGTGCGCAAGGTTCAAGTTTTCGCACGCAAATGAGTGTGCAAAGTGATTACTTTGCGCAAGCGAGTGGAAAAACACCTGGGCCGCAAAAGCCTCACAAACTTTATTACTTTTAGAATTTTTTTTATTAGTTCAAAATTTAAATTGGACTATTATGAGAGCGAAAGTACCCATTAGCACTAAAATATCTGGTTATTAGATACATTTTCATCTTCTCAGGATTAAATTAATTACCTTGAATCATCCCAGGTTAAATCAGTTCAAATCGAGGTTCAAATCTTAAAAAAATCTTTAATCCATTTAAATCTTCTTAAATCAGGTTAAGGGCGGGTATTATAAAACTGCTTTGACAGTTAACTTGAAGTTAACTTTTTGAATTACATGTAATTCCAGAAGTTAACTTTAAGTTAACTCTCAAAGTAGTTTTATAATACCCGCCCTAAATCTTCCTAAATCAGGTTAAATCTCCTAGATCAGCTTAAATCTTTTTAAATGATCCAATAAATCTTTAAATTACCTACCTTAAATCACGTTAAATCAGTTAAGGCCTGAATAAAAATCTCTTAAATCCGATCAAATCTGTTAAATCAGTTAAAATCAACAGTGATTTTAAATCGGTGTACACATTTTGAAGAAGTTGACCGCCCCCCGGGGGTAACTACCCTTTAAAAAAAAATCGAAATTTTCATAATTTTTCAAATTTTGACTTTCCTTATCGATAGAGCAGGTGTCAATAAGTCAAAAAACAATCTAACATCATTTCTCAATGACCAATTTGATTAGAGAAAAAATCAAGAAGAAAACTTCATTTTTTGGCTCTGAATTCTTTTGATTCATGACAAGGTTAAGAAAAATTACCAATATTTCCATTAAACTTTGAACAAATCCATATATTACATTATGCACCATTGGAAAGAGCGAGGGAATGAGCATTAAATTCTCTACAAATCTGCACTTAATTGAGCTCAATAGCTCAAATACTTTTTGAGTAATTGAGCCTCAAAGTTGGATTTTACTCGAAATTTAGTCAAAAACTTCAAACTCAATTTTCTCAAAAACTTTAAACCTGAAAATATTTTCCAATACAGGTTTGTTAGAACATGATAGGAGCTACAATTCCTGGAAATTTTGATTCAATATCTCTCATGGAGTTGAAGATATTGAAGCTTAAACATTTTACAATAAAAATTTTAGGGGGTAGGTATCCCTTCTTAAATTTTTTTTTTTAACTTTTCCAATCAAAAGCGGGTTTAAATTAGACGAAAAAAGCCCTAACCTTGGCCTTAACATCATTTCTAAATGACCAATTTGAAAGGAAAAAAAATCAAACAGAAAATTTCATTTTTTGATTCTGATTAAAGAAAAAAACATGACAAGGTTGACATAAATTGCCGATATTTCCAACAAAATTTGAACAAACCAAAATAAATTATACCCTATTAGAAAGAGCATTAAATTCTCTATAAATCTGTGTAAAATTGAGTTCGATAGCTCAAATACCTTCTGAGCAATTGAGCCTCAAAGTTGCATTTTAGTTATAAACTTTAAACTCAATTTTCTCAAAAATTGTTAACCTGAAAATATTTTCCAATACAGGTTTTTTAGAGCTTAATAGGAGCTACAATTCCTGGAAATTTTGATTCAATATTTCCCACCAATTTTAAGTTATTTAAACATACAAGATTTTGAAATAAGAATCCTCAGTCACTGAAATCTATATAACACTGTGTATATAGATTTACGATTTACCACAATAATTATACATAATTTGATAAACAGCTAATCAAGTCTTGACCTTCTTATTCATTTAAATTGTTATTATTGGTTGATGTCCGTGTCCTTTGAAAAACCTTTTTGCAGATTTATCGCCTGGCTGTAAAACAATAAATTTAAAAATTTTTCGTAGACGACCTTGCTTTGAAAACATGGTACAATTCTCATTTATAAATACATAGGCACTCTCACTCTGTCGGTTGGCGATTGGATCGGATGTCCTACTTAGGCGATTTAAGTCAATGAAATAAATATTTTAGGTATTCAGCAGCGACGCGAATTGTTCTAGAATGCATCTTTATATGGCATTAGTTATATTTGATAAACAGTTTTTGGAAACCAGTTGTTGTTGCGACAACATAATGGCCTAAAATTGGTGTCAGGTTTATTTTTTTCTGGGAAAACATTAAAAGCAACAAGTTGTTTTTGGTTCATTAATCCCAATTAAAAATTATTAATTTGTGTCTACTAGAGGTTACAGTTACTTCCTAAATTCTTCCTGGTTCATCAAAAATCACTTAATATGTATTATTAATCTTCGCTTTTTCTTCTTTAATACAAGCTGTTGGAAATTCTTATATCCGAAACATCTTTTCACCGTATATCCGCTTTTGGTAAACGATTGTTCACGGATTTATATATGGCACATTACTCCGTAATAATAATTTGTTCCCCAACATGCAGCTGCCAGCTAAACCTACCACTAAAACTAAAAATAAACATTTTTTAGTGTGACCAAACTGAAAATAGACGCAAAGTCAATGCCATTACCGCTATTCGACATATTATGAACTACCGGGAAATGCAATAAATTTTCCTTACACAATTATTTCTGGAAGAAAAATTGGCTGGAAAACTTGTTTTGTTCGAAAAACAATTAAATATTGTTGGCAAGGCGAAATCCTGGAAAATTGCGTATTTGTTAGTTATTAAGAGAAACAATAATTCAACAGAGAGCAAATTTATACAAGACAACATACCGATGTGATGATTAATGCAATCGTTATTCTACAAATGCCAATATAGTAAAGTTTAATTGAGAACGCTTAGGAAAATGTAAAGATCACGTTCGGATTGGAATTGTTATGTTTTTACTTTTGGTTATTTATTGATAGTTTGTCATACTGAGCCAGACGAGCAAAAAATGTGCGTGTTAAATGCTACTAAAATGCTGAAGTTGAAAATAATTTTTTTTTGGTCCTCTAATAACTTTTCCAACTTGGAATGAAACTGTTTGACCTGAATATTTTGGCAAAAGTCTACAATTTATCAGAAACATGGTACTTGTTCTATTGGATGCTGATTAAATATGGAATTGAATTGGCAATGGTCCACTATACTAGTTTTGGCTAGCAAAATCCTGTTCTAGAACAGTAACTATACAGAATATTACAAATCCGTGAATCAAAATTTTCAGGAATTATAGCTCCTATTAAGCTCTAAAAAACCTTTATTGGAAAATATAGTTTTTGAGAAAATTATTTTTTTTCTCTTTAAATAGGTCATTTGGAAACGATGTTAGGGTTTTTCTTTTTTTACCAATCTAGACCTGCTCCATCTTTGCCCCAGTTTAACCAACCCTATATTTCTTATTACCAAGATCCACATACTCACCAATTTGTAACACCCTGTATATTTTGCTAAAGGAGGAAATTTATTACTGAATCAAAAGAATAATTATTTTCAATATATTTTTTTCTAGACATCTGGTCGACCTGACGAAGTCATAGCAGCCGAAACCCTCGAAAACTACCGTCGCTGCAACAACTCCTTTATCCAAAGCGTGTTTCAAGCCCAGTACCGCTCCTCGCTAAGCTGCTCCAGATGCCGGACCCAATCGAACACCTTCGACCCGTTCCAGTGCATTTCGGTGCAGCTGCCCCAGTTTCACAAGCAAAGCATCTATGTAACTGTCGTTTACACATCCCAGCAGCCGCGTCAAGTGCAAATCGGCCTTAACTTGCCTTCTGGAGCTTCAATAAGCGAGCTAAGGGCCGTGCTGGAATCGGACACTTCAATTGAAAAAGATAACATGTTGCTGACTGAAATAGGAGATGCTGGATTTATGCGGACCTTTAATAATACCCAATCTATTGGGATGATTTCAGAAATTGATCCGATTTATTGTGTGGAAACGGCAAGATTGAAAGACAATGATGAGGATGCCACTAGCGCTTATGTGCTGCTTTGTTGGATTAATGTCGTTAAAGATTCTAATGGGGATTTGAAGAAATTCGGTAGTCCTTATACGATGCAAGTTTCACGCGAAACCAACTATGATGATTTGCAAAAGTTGATTTTGAAAGAAATGGCTCCAATTTTACACGACGACATTTTAACCTCTTCTCAATCTAGAGGGGTAAGGATTCTTTTGTATACTTATCGGCTGTTTATTTTAAACAAACTAGAACAAACACATTCCAAAGCTTATTTGTTTTATTATTGGATTGGAATGTATAAGTAATAATTTATGTAATTATGTCTTTCCTCTATTTATCAATAACGTTCTATGGTTGGCTAAACATCTGCTAACCTCGTTGTGGAATAATTTTGAAATGAAGATTTTTAATTAGATATATGCAAAATAGCTTCAAGATTTTTCTCAGTGTGTGAGGTCTTCAAAGAAAAATCAAGTGGAAATTTGAATACTTAGGATTTTATCTTCAAAGCTGGATTAATCAAAATTTTCCAAAAATGACACTGCGACTGAGTGCCTTTTTTCATAGATTTTGGCTTCAAATCTGAGAATAATTTAGTGTACGGAGTTTGGGGTATGTTAATTGACCAAAATCTCAACAAAAAAAAATATGAAATTTCATCGTTTCAGTAAGAAGGTTCGTTTCACCAGGGTTCATACTTGACCTTGAAACCTCAGAAAAAAGGGTTGTCGTAGATTAATTCATATGACACATTCAATTTTTTTGACAAATTAAAATGAATGATTTCTCTTTTAAGAACCGACGAACGTTTTTGACGTCATTGGTTTGTTTCAGTCAATTTTTATTTGGTAAACAAGGAAGGCAAATGCTGGTGGCAAGTACAAACCCTGGCGAAACAAACACCTTAGGATTTAGATTTTGGAAAACTTTGAAAGGTCATAACTTTTTTTCTATTATGGATAGAAAGCTGAAATTTTCACTGAATCTTATCTCAATAAAGGGACTACAATCTCTAAAAATTTCAGCTCATTTGCTCTTATAGTTCCTGAGATAAAATCGTGTTAAGCAATTTGGGGTGATTTATGAATGTTTCAATTTTTCTGAGTGCTGTTTTTCATAGATTTCGGCTTCAAATCTGAGAATAATTTAGTGTATGGAGTTTAGGGGATGTTAATTGACCGTTAGGATACAAAATCTCAACAAAAAAAAATTTGAAATTTCATCGTTTTAGTAAGAAGGTGAAGGTGAAGGTGACCTTATGATTTAGATTTTGGAAAACTTTGAAAAGTCATAACTTTTTTTCTATTGAAGATAGAAAGCTGAAATTTTCAGCAATTCTTATCCCAGTAGAGGACTACAATTCCTGAAATAATTTACTAACTTCTGCCAGCTTCGTAATCTAATAATATATCCTTAAATTCAGATCTTCAAAATTCGCATATCCGATCCAGCCTGGAACGAAACCGAACCACCCTGCTACCTAGAACCTCAACTCGAGCACCCGCTTTTCATGGAAGCCATAGACCAAGCCCTGGCTTTGTGCTCAGAAGATGGCGGCCCGTGCCACGTCAAGCTCATCTTAGAATGGACCGAAAGTGCCAAAAAGTCCATCATAGCTGACGATGCGGATTTAATCGAAGAACATTCTACTGTTAAGATTTTGAGGGCACAAGCGCTGCAAGGGGGCGCTCCTCTGACTTTGGAAGAGTGCCTGAGGGATTATACAGAAGCTGAAACGTTGACTGATGCTTGGAGGTGTCCGCACTGTCAACAGTATCAGCCCGTTGTGAAAACTTTGGACGTTTGGTCGTTGCCTGATATTTTGATTGTACATTTTAAACGATTCAGACAGTATGTTTAAAATTCATTAAAAAAATATAATACATAATTATTTTGATTAATTTTCAGGCATACAATTCGTGGAGGAAACTCTACCAAACTTACAACTATGGTTGAGTTTCCAGTTTACGGTTTTGACATGTCGCCTCATTTGGCTTCAAAGCGTCACATACCGCCAAATAATATGACGGAAAGTGAGCTTATCAATGGCTGGTCTCCCTGGAAGCGTGCCAGAAAACCTTCAAATTGCAATGAAAATATTTATGATTTGTATGCTGTTTGTTACCATCACGGTACAGACTTGGAAACTGGACATTATACAGCTGCTTGTAAAAATCCTTATGACCAACAGTGGTATCTTTATGATGATGCTAAGGTAATATTATACTTACAATAGAGGCAAATATTAGACTAATATTTTTCTAATAGGTTGTTAATCTAAATAAAGACTCAGATGAAGTGACACCTTTACTGGTCAACAATAGCGCCTATATTCTATTCTATCAGCGTCGTTCGATGGGGCACAGCTCAAATAATAGCTCAGCTGCTAGTACCAGTTCTGTAGGTTCGGGCAATGATCATTGGGTGTGCAGGATGCCCAGATTTGTACAACCAAAGTTCACCAAATTACCAGAAAAAGTAGAAAAAAGCGTTTCGATAAAAGACGAGCCCAAAACCATAGAGCAAGAAGCAAAAGTTGACGAAGTAGTTGCTTTGAGAAACAGCCAAAACACTTTATACAGTAGCAGAAAGTCTTTGGAGATTAAAGTTTCGGAAAATGTTAGGAATTCGCCTACTTTAAGCCTCAATCTTAACAGGTAATTGTTTTATTGTCAACAAAGAAAAATATTCTCACCTATCAATTATTAGATCCTCTTCAGAAGCCAAAAAAACCCTTTACACTACAAGTGTTTACATAAACTCAACAAACCAAGAAAATACTTCTCCAGTTTTGAGCAATTTGAGAACTGAAGGGGTTAAATTGGATGTAACTTTAAGGGAACCCCCTAAGGAATTATATACAACAACAGCTTCAATTCATCGACATTCGGATATTGAAAAAGGGGTGTCTAGGACGCAACTCAACTGGGTAAGAATTAACTTATTTAACTTTGATGTTTTGTTTAAAAAGAATTATTTCAGATGTCTCCGCAGCCAATCAAAAAATCCGCCTCCACTCAAGACAGCACTGGAGTGCTGTTTTCCGTATGAGAGTTTTTCAAATGCTGTAAATAGTTGGCCTGTGTTAGTTGGGAATTTTCAGAAAAATTCAAACTAATATAGGCCTAATTAAGTTTCAAAACCGATTTTTGTTTTGTTTTCGTTTTTTTCCAGATTTTATTGTTTTTGGTCCCCCATTATTTTACATGTCTAAAAATGTATAGAAAAAAAAAGTGATATTATTGTATAGCGTTATACGGTAATGATAGATTTTATTTAATTATTATTATTTGGTTGTTTTATATGTTACAGTAAGGCCTAAGTTGGATTCTATTACAGGGTGATACTCTTTCTCCTGTTTATAAGTGAAAAATGTTATTATTTTTTTTGAATTAGTAATTTATTTTTTGTTTTGTTATCAGGCCTCTGAGGAAATTCTTTATTTTTGTATAAGTATCATCAATAATGTATAAATAGTAAGTGCCTAACTAGTTTTCTATATAATATATAATAATGTGTGTAAAATTAGTATAATAATTTTAGGACAAAACCTTTTGTTTCGTTTTACAAGTGAACATATTTTGGGAATAAAAATATTGTAACATGTAAAACTGGTGCCTTAAATTTAATATTTATTGTTTTATCGTTCTGTTACATCACCGAAATAAAATTAAAAAAATCTGTGTATATTTTGTTTGTTTTTGCTTTCTAAGTCTATGCAGACCTTCATAAACAATATGTACTTTATATTACAAAGAAATTCTAATAGAGACACAATATTCGACCCCAATTTGCCACTATGATTACACAACTACGCCCGCTATTTTGTCCCGATCAATCTTTTTAATTTAGATCAACATCAAAATAAAAATAAATTCGAATTAGCTTTTTGATGGCGAATTAAACTAGCGCTGACACCTACTCTTACGACATGGGCGCGGTCGGATTTCACTTTGCAGAATAATAATTGGCAAAGATTATTATTTGATTACGGGTCAGCGTCTTTTAAGTGAGATTTTGTGGACCATTGTATTTATCATTGGAAAGAGTATTGAATTCTCTATAAGGCGTGCAAAATTGGTGTTTGTAGCTTGTGGAGTTCTTAAATATCGAACTTCAAAGCTTCAATTGGAAGCTCTTATTGAGAACTACAATTACGGTTCTCTATTTGCTCGGTAGATTTTCTAGAGGCAAACAATCAGGCAATTGTTACCGGTTCTTGATTCATTACTGGATTATTAGTGGAAATATCATAAGATTCTGAAGCTAATTAGGTATACAGGGTGATTAATCTAGCTCGTGCATCAGCTTGTAGGTGGATTAGGTGCTATTTCTAATAATCCAGCTGCAAACTGGACCACTTTTAATGCACGGACTACATACATAAATGACGGTGTATATACTTTGGATAGAGTCAGTAGGTACCTAATAGTCCAACTGCTAATTGCACTGAGAAAAGAAATCAATTAAATCAAAATCAGTTCTTAGTCAAAATTTGAACTATTACCGGCTCTTGATCGCAAAATAGAGTATTTTTTTCAGAAAATTGAGATCAGAGGTAGGTATAGGTACCTATAATAATCAAAATATGGACTATTACCGGCTCTTGAATGCTATTAGAGCAATTTTCCAATGAATCAAGGGCCGGTAATTTGAACTATTATTGGTTCTTGATTGATCCTAGAGCAATTTTCTAGTGAATGGAGAACTATGGTAATAGTCCCAACTGTTGCAATTTTTCAGCCAAATCTAGTGTCGGTATAATAGTCCAAATTTTGACTAAAACTGTCTCTGGATTCATTGGAAATGTAGTGACAGCCAAGAGCCGGTAATAATGAAAATAGGACTATTATCGGCTCTTGATTTGTACTTATAGAGCAATTTTCCAGCAAATCGGAAGACAGAAAATAGTCCAAACATGAATCAAGATGCAGTGAAAATCATAATTTGGATTATTACCGGTTCTTCATTGCCACTAAAGAGCAATTTTCCAATGAATTGAGAGCTGGAATTTGGACTATTATTGATTCTTGATTGCTCTAATATTGAATGGGAGAACTGATAATAGTTCCAACTTTTGCAATTTTTCAGCAAATCCATCAGTGCCGTCAACAGTCCAAATTTTCGATTATAGTGGTTCTGGATTCACTGGAAACTACTAATGGCAGCCAAGAGCCGGTGATAATCAAAATATGGACTATTATTAGAGTTCTTGATTGCTAGGTATTAGGGTAATTTTCCAGCGAATCAGAGGCCAGAGAAAAACCTTTTCTCATTGAATCAAATATCCAGTGAAAATCATAATTCGGACTTCTACCAGGTCTAGAAAAATTGCTGAACAAATAAAGAACTGATAATATCCAAATTTGGCTACCTACTGATTGGACTGGATGATTTTCCAGTTTACCATACTAATCAAAAGTCAGTGAAAATCCAAATTTGGACTAGACTACCTTATGATTTAGATTTTGGAAAACTTTGAAAGGTCATAACTTTTTTTCTATTATAGATAGAAAGCTGAAACTTTCACTGAATTTTATCCCAATCAAGGAACTACAATTCAGCTCATTTGTGTTAAATTAGATTTAGATTAAACTAGATATTATTGTTTCTGAACATATTATATTAGTACCAGCAAATTTGTTATCCACAAGCAATTTGGAAAATAACTGGTATTGATTGTATTGTCATAAAATTTGTCAAATAAATTAAAAATTCTGTCTAGTTCAAGATAATTTCTCTCCGAATAGAAGAAATTTATTCAAATATACAGTCCATTAAACTAATATTGCATTAGTTATAAACATTGGTCTCTACGAGCCGGATATATTCATGTAAGTTCCAGCCAAATAGTGGGTATTCACGCAATAAATGTGAATATTGGAATTGGTGTTTCTCCATTGATGATCGGAAAACGACTGATGTATGTCTAACAGTTGGATTGTTCCACCACGGGTCTTCAGTTGGAATTAAATAAGGTAAGAGAATTGCTGAGATTAAAAAAAAAAAGTGTGTTTAGATTTGAATCAGTGAAATGTCTGACGAATCAAAGTTAAAGATTAAAAAGAGTAATTTAAAATCTAAATTAACACGAATTAACAATTATTTTGATAAGTTAAATAAAGATAATTTAACTGGAGAGATAATTATAGAATTAGAGGAAAGATTGAAAATTTTAGAACCAATTTTATCTGAATTTAATGATGTTATTTGTGAACTTTGTTCTTTAAATAAAGAACAAGAAACAGGCCTCCTTGAAGAAGAGGAGGATTTTGAAAATAAGTTCTATAATTTATGTAGTCGGGCAAAATTAATTATTAAAAATGTACGTACTGACTCTGACACAAATTCCGAAACAAGCAAAGGTAGTGTAGAATCAACTAGACATAGAAATCATAATTCAAATGATCATAATTAATCCAATAGTAAAATTGCCACCCATAACTATACCACCATTTGATGGTAAATATTGCAACTGGTTGCAGTTTAAAGATGCCTTTATTTCATTAATTGATGCGACATCCAAAAATTCTACTATTTGAGAAGTTCTCTGAATAAGGATGTTCTTGAAGCAATTCAATCTATTGAGGTATCAGCAATAAATTATAATGTCGCATGGCAGTTTTTACTCGAAAGATATGAAAATAAGTCCCTAATGATTCATAATCATATTAAAATCATTTTTGAATATCCAAAGTTAAGGGATGAATCACATGTAGGATTGAGAAATTTATTTGATACAACTACAAAACACTTACGTTCTCTAAAAAGTTTAGGAGAAAATACTGATTCATGGGATAGGTTAATCATCTATATTTTAGCAAATAAATTTGATACTGTTACACGTCGGGAGTGGGAAAATCATAAATACCAGAACGACCTACCTTCGTTACAAGATTTGAATAGCTTTCTTAAAACTATCTACTCAGCAAAAAATTGAATCAATAAAAAGTTTAAAATTATGTTTAAATTGCTTCAGAAATACACATCAGTCATGGAAATGTAAACTAAATAAATGTGCGAAATGTCATAAACCGCATAACACCTTGTTACATTTGGAAAATATAAATAGAGATTCTTTAGTAGTAACTCCGGAAATTGGCGATTCCAGTGTAGTTACCCATGTACAGAAGAGCGATTTTGCTATATCTAGTTCTCAAGTATTATTTATCTACAATAAAACTTATAGTAAAAAATGGTGGGAAGGAAATAACATGTAGGGCACTTCTAGATAGTGGGTCTCAAAGTAATTTCATCTCCAAATCATTCTGTGAAAGGCTCAATTTGGAATATGTTAAAATTAATCATGCCGGGGGAATTGGACAGATGTTATCTAATATAGATCGCCAAGTAAATATCAAAATTATGTCACGAGTTAATTCTTTTGAACAAAATATAAACTGTTTAGTGATACAGAAAATTACAGATAGATTACCTGTTTGTAGTTTCAATAAAAGTTTACTCCAAATACCGATGGAGTTAGAATTAGCAGATCCTGATTTTAACGTTTCGAAAGAAATTGATATATTATTGGGATCTGGAATATTTTGGACGGCTATTTATTCAGGACAAATTTCATTAGGAAATAAACTTCCCATTTTACAGAATACTGCATTTGGATGGATAGTTGCAGGAAATATGCAAATAGGTTTTAATAACGTCAATATGTCGATAAATTGTTTTAGTAATGACACTAATGGGTGTAATCTTGACACTAGTATCGTGAAATTTTGGGAATTAGAGGATGTTTTGAGTAAAAAAGATGTTTTATCGGAGACAGAAAGATATTGCGAGGAACTTTTTGACTCCACCACTATCAGAGACAACAACGGTAGATATATTGTGAGAATCCCTTCCAAAAAATCTATTTCAAATTTAGGAAACTTTAAATTTAATGCACTTAATAGAATTTATGGTTTAGAGAGAAAATTAATTAAAAATCCAGATTTGAGAAAGGAATATATACAATTTATGGATGAGTATATTTCTTTAAATCATATGTCAGAGTATAAGGATTTTGATTGTGAAAGTATGGGTTATTATTTGCCTCACCATGCGGTCATCAAAAGCACGAGTTTAACTACTAAGTTACGAACAGTTTTTGATGCCTCGTGTAAGACTACTTCTGGTTTGTCTCTGAATGATGTGCAATTTGTTGGGCCTACATTGCAACAGGATATTTTCCAAATATTAGTAAGATTTCGCACACATAAGTATGTAATGACTGGTGATGTGAGTAAAATGTAGGTACCGCCAAATACTTATAAATGAAGATGATCAAATATATCAAAAAATATTTTGGCGATCACATCCTGGTGAAGAGCTTAAATGTTATATCTTGCATACTGTTACCTATGGAATGATAAGCAAAATCATCAGGCGTGATTTTTACATGGATGACTTACTCACCGGGGCAAATTCAAAAGAAGAACTGTTGTATATTCAAAAAAATATTTATGAACTTTTGGCCAAATCTGGTTTTGATTTACGCAAATGGCTATGTAATGATAAAGATGTTCTGAACGATTTTAAGATTAGTAATAATGTAGATGTAAGTATATTAAATATTGGTGATAAATGAATCAAATAAAATTTTAGGTATTTTTTGGAATGCTCAAGGTGATTCCATAAATTATAAAATAAGTCTAGATATTCTAAAATTAAAGAAAATTACTAAAAGAACAATTTT